CACAACTACCATGGTCTCCACCAGACTTAGTCCAGTACAACCAGATGGTACCTGGCTACCACCACCGACTGCTCTGACAGGGATCACAATAGAGGGTCCTGGGCAGAGCTGGAGAAAAATGTAGAACAAAATTTTAACTCACAAAACAAGACCAGACTTACTGGCCTGACAGAGACTGGAGAAACCCCGAGAGTATGACCCCTGGACACCCTTTTAGCTCAGTAATGAAGTCACTCTGGAGGTTCACCTTTAAGCCAAAGATTAGATAGGCCCATAGGACAAAATGAGACTAAAGGGGCACACCAGCCCACAGGCAAGGACTAGAAGGCAGGAGGGGACAGGAAAGCTGGTAATAGGAAACCCAAAGTTGAGAAGGGAGAGTGTTGACATGTCGTGGGGTTGTTAACCAATGTCATAAAACAGTATGTGTATAACTGTTAAATGAGAAGCTAGTTTGTTCTGTAAACTTTCATCTAAGGTATAAAAATAAAATAAAAAACCCTATGGGGGCAGTTCTGCTCTGTCCTACAGAGTCTCTATGAGTTGGAATCGACTCAATGGCAACGGGTTTGATGAAGATATTTCATAAGTTACCCTCTAACTAAAATACCATAAAACCCACACCAACCAGATGGCAAAAATTTTAAGGGCATAATTTATGTGTGTAAATTATGCGTAATTTCAAATGTAAAGTAACTGGAACTCTCATACGTTGCTGGTGGAAGTAAACTGGTACAACCACTCTGGAAAATTGTTTCCCAGGATCTACTAAAGCTATAATATGCATGACCTATAAGTAAGCAATTCCACTCCCAGGTATATACACACCAGACAGGTATAAACATGTGTGCCAAAAGACACACACAAGAATGTTCACAGAAGCACTATTCATAATCGTAAAAAAAAAAAAAAAAAAACACAAATGCCAACAACAGGAGAATGGATAAGTATTCTAGCATATTAATGCAATGAAATAATACCTAGTAATAAAAATGAGCAAATTCATACCACAGGGAATAACATGGATGGATCTAACAAACATAATACTGGGCAAAAGAAACCAAACACAAAGAAAGTATGCTTCCATTTACACAAAGTTCAAATCAGGCAGTACCAGTCTATGGCAAGACAGGTCTCCTTTTGGGAGAAGTGGAAAGATTACCTTTGGAGGGGCAGTAAAAGGAATGTCTAGGGTGCTGATAACATTGTTTCCTGATCCTCACAGTGGTTACACCGGTGTTGTTATGGATTGAATTGTGTCCCCCAAAAATAAGTGTTGTAAATCCTAACCTCTATGCCTACAGTTATAATCCCATTTGGGAATGGGTTGTCTTTACTACGTGAATGAGGCAGGATTAGTGTAGGGTGTGCCTCGAATCAATCCTTTTTAAGATATAAAAGAGATTAAACACGCAGTAAAGCCGAAGTCGGGGAAAATG